TACTTCAGTGTTACCTGCCCCGGCTACTGGCAGTTACTGGCACCAGAGCCCTTCAGTGTTCCAAGATTTTCATGTACCAGTTCAGGTTGCCCAATATAGAAATCATGAATATGCAAAAATATGCCACGAAGAAGAGATTTTATTAGGGCTTACACTGCAGCTTAGACTGCATAGAGTGACTCACTACTGACACAGAAGATTACCAACGTGAGAAATAAAGTGAGCTCATGCACGTGCTGTGTCAGACTTTCTGTTTAGCCATGCATATGGGAGGGGCTTCTCCCATACCTGATTGAGAACTGCACAGGGAAGGCATCCAGAGAGGCTGCAGCATGGAGCCATCTGGGACAGACCTGTGACTGAAGCTTCCTATAGCCACAACGAATGTCTCTCAAGTGGCGGCGAGGTGTGTGATTCAGCCATGGATATCTATGAGACCTTTGGAAACGCTGCAGGGGAAATAAGTGTCTCTGAGGAAGCACTAGTCCCTCGTGTTCTGTCTCACATGCACAAATGCAAACCTTTACAAAGGACAGTCCTGAAGAACTCAGTCACATAGGATAAATCAAGTTGTTCTGTGGTTGTCTTAAAGGAGAAAACTAAGTGGACTACAAACTGATTGTTTACAAAATAAATCACAATTGACTAAATTCCAAAGCTTTGTGAGCAGGGAAGTGGGAACCTTAGACCTGCAATGGAAAGTAGCTGATACTGACCACAAGCTGTCAGAGCCTGGAAGCACATTCTTCCCGGAGCTTCCAGATAAGAGCCTCTTGGAGCCAGCACCTTGATATTGGCCTCTGACACCTCTGTAAGGAACCTAGCCAAGCCCATGCAACTTCTGACCTACAGAACTGTGGAACAATAAATGAGTGGATGTTTTAAGCATCAAGTCTATAGCAATTTTGGGCTGGGAATATAGTCCAAAAATGCTTGCCTAACAAGTGAAAGGTCCTAAGTTCGAGTCCCAGGACCAAAAAAAAAAATCTATAGTAATTTATTACACATCAGTGGGAAAGTAATTCAAGAAGTCCCCCTCGTCCATCACATCAGAACATAATAGCTCCCCTATAATGGACCTTATCTAAGCATCCTTAAAATTCCTAATGAAAAGTTCACGTAGGCCAATCCTCCAAGGTGGGAAAGGTTGTCTTATGAACCCCCAAATTTCCAATTCTAGACTCCCATATTCATTCTGGTGACTTTCATGCCACTATATTTATTTTCCCTTAACATAACTTTCAATCAATTAAGGTAAAAATCACTTCTTATAACCCTTCCAGGGAATTTGGTCGTTGAGACCAAAGCTGAGTCAAAGAGCTGGAGTTGAAGAGTACAAAAGGTTTCCAAGATAACTTTAGAAAACTCAGAACACTGGCAGGCCTTGTATATCTGAATGATCTAAGCTATAACTGTATTTCCATGCAAATGAAATATTTTGAAGAAATATAGTCTAACATGGCACTTGATAAGAGAGCAACAATAGAATCCTAGGCGCACCATATCCCATGCCATCTTCAACATGTTAGATGTCTAGTTTGGCAATGTGAACTTTAAATGCTTTTAAATAAGCTACACACAGAGAGTCAAAATAGGGGAGGTAATATGCAAGAAAAACTACCTTTTTAATAAGATTATTACTCCATTGACTCACCCTATTTCACCCTATTAACTTCATTGATTTTACTTTAGGATTTTACTTAGGAACAAAGACCCCCCAAATGTCTAAAGTACTTTTGACTTGATTGAAAGGAAAAGATCAAACTGCTGAGAAAAATACGTCCAAAGGGAAAATTGATTTTTCTCTCCAATGTGTATCAAATTCATTAGGATAACTTGACAAAAGTTTCCAAGAAAGATGCACCTTCTGAAACTTTCATGATGCTCACTGGATTTCATTTGTCAGTACTCCAGCTGAACGCATGTTACCAACTGTCCTACCTTGAAAACTATTTTACCTCCAAAAATTTGCATATTGTCAGGCAGAAAATGGATATTGTGTAACATCTGTTTCATTCATGAATTTAATCATTCAATCAATACATGCATGTTAAGGATACGGGTTTGATCATCATTGTTTTAAGGCATCTGTGTAATTTGGGGAAACAGAAATGTGAAGCCAGTCTCTATCCTCAACTTTTGCAGTTTTGCAAAATGGTTTTGCTAATGGTCTTTACCACCCAAAGGTGGGGGAATGAAAAGAGAACAGGTTTTATCATCAAAAAGATCTATCTTCAAGCCATCATCATTTAAATTAGCTTGACAGATGACTTAAATTCTCTAAAATTTCCCACTAATAAAACGAAGCAGTGATAGTAATGAATGCACAAATATTCTATGAAAATAAATTAAATCATGTATATAATATGTTTTGTGCATTCAGGTACATGCTAAAGGTTCAGGCAATATTAATAACTCTAAAAGTCATCATTTTAGTACCAAGAATACTAAAAAAGCCTAAAGGAGTAGTCAAGGAATGTTTGATGTTAATGTGAGCTTCTGTCATGTAGCCATTCATGAAAGAAGGAAACAGCGTAAGAAACAGACATTCCAGCCTCAACATGAGCAAAGGGTCAGAGGAGAGAGGAGAGGTGGTCCGGGCAGAGAGGTGAGGGCTCAAATGCAGGGGTTGGAAAGGTAAATCAGGAGCTAGGGTCGAGCTCAATGCTTCTTGGATTGCTATAAGCCTGAACTAGGTTTGGGATTCAATGCCACTGACATTAGCACAGCTCTCCTGATCTGAAAGGTATCTTCAGTTATATCTTTGTTCAATATTTTTATAGGCTCCAAACCTGTTCCTCAAATGAATTGAGAAATTAAATGCTAAAAGGAAATTATTTTTATTACTATGGTGATGATCTGAGCCTTATAACATCAACTCAACAAATAAAGACAAATGTAAATTCCTGTACTTGGATCTAAACAGTCACCTGCACAGACAGGTTGAGATAAGAAGCCTGCGCAGAAAAGTTTCAGAAGTTTTAGGAAACAGAAAGCTCATTGTGGATGGTGCCTGCCATCTTCAATGACATCAACAGAAATTGAGAGAAGATTATTCTGTTTTCTTTTTAGTTAGCATTTATTTGACCACATATGATGTGTTTAAACGTAAGCCTTACAGGTCAAAAAGAAAGGTTCTACAAAGTGGGACATACTGAAGAAAAGATTTTTAGAGCTGAAGACACTCAATTATACACTTATAAGATGAATCAATAGAGGAGAAATGCAAACTAGATTTGTAAGATTAAGTAGAAAAGGGAAAGTCAGAAAACAAGCTTGCAATGGGGGTGAGTAAAATGTGCTCTGCAGACAAGTTGGTCTAGCTTGCTGTGATATTTAAACAGTGGTCTTATGTAATATATATGTATACAATGTCCAATGGATTATACTTCTAACATTTAAAGGCAAGCATTCTCTCCCAATCCTGTTCCCATTGAATCTACAAAACAATTAACAGTTTGTGAAAAACGCGCAAACAACTCATTGAGTAAAGAAAAGGAAAAAAAAATTGTAACTATCCTGTGAAAGGAAGCATTATCTTATGGTGCAATACCTCCCGAGTTCCTTTGTAAGGAGGACCTTGCCATGCCCCCTTGGTCAGAAATGGCCTGTGCTAGCTACTAAGATGCTTCCAAGAGAGCGAATGTTATCGGCTAATTGATAAGATGAATATAGCCAAAGATGGACTTGACATACTCTGCCACTGCACTTCATCTAAATTGGAGGGCTCCTTATCCAGAACCCAAAGTTGAAAAGTTCTTCTCCATCTTCTAACTAAGTGAAAACCTTGAATCTGAACTCCAATTCTTTTGGCCTTTCTATCTCTGTGCATGCAAAAAAATTGAAGCTTTCTAGCCTATGTCTTAATCATCTTGCAAAACAGGGATCTCACACAGCTTTGGCTATTAAATATAAAATAATGAAAAACAACAGAATGCATGAAGTCCACACTTGCACTTGTCAGGAAATATTCACTTGTTCTCCTCAGGCCACACCAAGCAAGGATACAGAAGTCACATGAGTCACAGATAAACAGAAATGACAAGCTGAGGAGCCAAATGGTACTAAAACAGAAGTTGAGTTTTTTTGCAAAGCTCATAAGCTCACCTTATGGAGTGAAGCCCATCAAAACAGATGACACCCACAGAAACTCCCCACAAAGGAGCAGAAAGTCAAGATTAAACCAATATTATGAATGGACATTTAGGGACCCTGGGCCTCGTGAAAAGCACAAGTCAGGCTGGAATCCACAGCTGCCTACCAAAAAGAATCTCATTCTGGCTAAGTTCAAAGTCAACCTGGACTTTTCTCTGCCTCAATAAGACAAACACTGCAGCAAACATTAGATGACTGCACTGCTCCTCAAATTGCTTCTCTCCTGAGAGTTACTTTGTATGAACCACAGCTCTAGTTTCCAAGACTTAGGAGATTTTGGAGGACGCTAACTCAATGAGATATCTATGAAGGGCACTTAAGCAGTTTTTGAACAACTCCTGGAGCATCCTATAATTTTTGGAAGGAATAAAACAACAATCCTAGATACAGTGTACTCCTTTTTTTTTTTTCTTGAAAAGATAGTAGCAACCACATTCAGGCACCATCTCCAAAAGTAACAATACAATAAAACCACAACAGCAAAAGATCGCTTCCAATCACAATAACACTACACTCCCATCTACCAAACTGGATAATATTGTGTGCTTGTGTAGGCTAAGGAGGAGAACAAATAAACATTTGTTATCTGAGGAGAACAAGTGAACCTTTCCTGACAACTATAAACCCCAGCTTTAGGCCTTCTGTGGTTTCTGATTATTCCGTGATTCTGATTTTCTGCTCCTATTAAACATGACATCTCACTTAAAACTCCATAACCATCCTATTTTGCACATGAGGAAACAAAGACAAATGTTACAGTGACTTGTCCAAAAGCAATGAATAATAAAATGGAGGAACAAGGCCTTTCCTAAGCCTCTGCGATTTACTGGCTTCCTCACACTTACACAACTTCATCCTGGTTACAAACTCCTCCTGGTAGCCTCTTGCTCCAAGCCATGCTTCCTCTGCTCCACTGTTCCCATTTCATCCTTTGTCCTTCTTCTCCAACGTGCCAGGACCTTTTGTGATGTGCTCCTGCCATTTGCTGGTGCTGTGATGCCTGAATTCATCCTCAGTTGTCCACAGCTGCACCTGATCTTGCCCTCCCCAGCCTCTGTGTCCCTTGCCTACAGTGACTCTGACCAGCAGCCTCAAGCCCTTTCCTGCTCAGAGTTGCTGGCTCATAGCCTAGAGCAAATGTGTTTGGACTCAGTGTGACACTACACACCCACTGAGCACGCCCTGCACTCAGGATTCCTGAAAATTGCACTTCGCCACTGTGTACCGCCTGTTAACTCCCAGCTGTCTACCCCGCAGACAGCCATCTGACCTGGCCTGCATTTTCCCCTCTTTCCCCTGCGCTGTCCCTCTTTAATCCTCCTAGTCCTTCTCTTTGCTCCGGTGTATTCAGACTCTGTTTTTAAAATTCACGCTGTCCTTACATTTGCTTATGACATTCATGTAATGTATTTTTTAATTATAATATAATGCAACCTGTCATAATTCTGATGAACAAATTTTTAAAAGATAGCATGCTACATCAGTGCGGTTATGGTAAAAAAGCATGCTTTTATATAACATGCTGCTGATTGTGTTTTAAGAAAACAGTGACATGTGCCCAGCACGGTGGTACTTTCCTATAAATCCCACCATTTGGGAAGCTGAAACAGGATTGCTGCCATGAATCTGAGGAAAGCCTGGGTGTATTCCAGTGAGTCCCAGGCCAGCTTGAGCTACACAGTGAGACTTTCTCTTTAAAAACTGAAAAAAAAAAATGGTATAATCTTCTGGATTGTCTATGTAAATTGAGTCATTAAAATCAATTTTATGTAAATTTGTGTCTGCAAATGATTTTCTATTAAGATTCATCCTATTTCACTTGATAATATAAATTTTATGAGTCTATACCAAGCAAGTAATTAGATAATCCCCTGAGATGTGGTCCTTGCCCCTTGGTGTCTACCCAAATCCACACAATTATCAAAGCCTAGAACAACTTCCAGCACCTCCTCAAACTCTAAGGCTGCAATGAGCCTCTGTTCTCTGAACTTCTAATTCACTTGATGCTTTCATATGTCATGTCTGGTGTTGCTCATAATTAATGTATTCAAACTTAACAAAATTTTATGACACAATGGGCTAGAGCTATATTAACTCTGGAAAAACCAACAATAACAATACATGAACTGTGATCTTGATGGGTCACCTCCTACCTGTTCTTCCTTCCTGGACTTGGGTCCCCTTGAAGACAATGACCAAGGACTGTTTAATTTTAGTTTGGAAGCATCTAACATAGGACCTTGCAAAATTGGAATACACATTCAGCTACTTCACATCTTGCTGAGAAATTCATTTAATGATATAATGTAGTGTGATCAATCTAGAATCCTTAATCTGATTGTCCCCACCTTGGACAGTCACACTTTGACAGATGGGTAATTTGAGATGAATTTAATTTGTGTGAATACTAATCAATTTGTACTACTTATGCATGAAAAAGAAAACAAAATTTCCCTAAGGAAAAAAACTGAAGCTAGAAATATATATTTTATGTACTTCTACAGAAAATATATTTCTAAAATGCAAGTGTATCGTGAATAATTATAGAAATACATTTATCAAAGACCAATAGAAATATTATCAGTACGTTATAGGTGGGGCGACTGAACCTCAGTGATGGAACTAGAAGGAGAGACTAATAATGTATCCCCAGGTCTCTTCCCACTACACTATTCAGGCTTGTTGTGGGCTATTATCAAAAAATAAAGTGAATGTTTAATTTTTTAAGAAAATTACCACAGTAAAAGACATATTGCTAGTAATCCCTCTCAAAATTTCTCCCTTGCTTAAAATACACTTAACCCATCATTCTTGATACTTCTGAAGGCATTCTAGAAGTTCTCTTTCATGAATGTCTTTAGTTGTGACCTGCCAGCTGCCTTGACTTGCTGATTCCATTGGAAGTATTTCCCTTTCATGGTCATTTTGATGTTGGGGAGGAGCCATAAGTCAGATGGTACCAGATTCACTGAATACAGAGGATCAGGACACATTGTGATGCTGTCACAGCTGATTGTCCACCTAATGACCTTCAGTAGTGGCATTCCTTGTAGTTTTGACCACTCCTCATAAACACACTCATGAAAGAAAATCCAGAGCAGCTTCACAAAGGGGCAACACCATGGAGGTAAGTGGTTCAAAGTGAAGGGAAGGATTTTGAGGGGGACTAGCGGCAACGTTTCTTTTACTGTACTAATATTTTTTAATTTAAATATTCACTGTGTAATACTTTTATGCAAATAATTACTTTAGAAACAGACCTTACCAAGGAAAATTCTTTCTATGTACCTCAAAATGCCTCAAAGTTACCACAGGTGATTCAAAGGCAAAAACCAGAAGACTTTTCAACCAGAAAGTTACCTTTGCCTCCATGCTCTACTCTGCCCCCTTTAACTCACACTCCATCATTTACATCACACTTTTGGTCCAGCCCTCACTGCCTGGATTTTCTTACCAGGTCACTATGCTTGTTTGTACTTTGAACAGGGTTTGTTGGTGAACAAAACGAACCAGGGAGAGGTAGTGTATGGACAAGTACCCCGGAAGATGTGTGGACACAAAGGATACCCACAGAAAACAGTGTCTCCGCAGAAAGCAAAGGAACTCGCAAATCAGGATCTTGAAAGGAGGATTTAATTAGGAGATTGTTTTCAAACAATGGGTTTCCCTTGTTAATTGGCACATTTTCATGTAAATAGTTATTAATGCCTTTAGACTGGAAGGGACAAAGACAAGAGCCAGAAGGGAGCGGAGCCCATATTAAGGAACAGTGCAAGAACCCATGATGGTCTCAAAAAAATACAGCCTGGGAATTAACACTCTCCTTCACCCTCTTTCCTCTCTAAATCACTGCCAGCAATCCCCTTCTGCCAAATTCGGTAAGATGCCTCCTTCTGTGGACACAAGAGCCCACAGAGGATAGGATTCATACAGGACACCCTCCCAGGCAGAGAAGTGCGAAAAAAAGGTGAAAAATAAGGCAGGCAGAGTGACTGCCACAAGGGGTGAGTCACCCTCAAATACGGGCCAACTGTCACAGGTTTCACACAGAGAATAGAACTAGTAAATAGCCAAAGGTTAATCTAAGGAGGAATTTTAAACTGAAAATGAGAAAGGTCTAATGATAAAGTATACTAATAAAATTTGTATGCCTTTGGTTATTGGAATATTAATATATTAGCATAAAGACTGAACCAATATTAATCATTCTTTAGAAATATAAAAAATGCCCACCAGCAAGACCAAGGCCTTGTCAACAGGGGTTGTCTATAAAAGCAACATGTTGGATGTTATCGAGACCCTGCAAGACTTCATGACAAGTGTGTACAGATGCATAAAAAGTGTGGTGAGAAAGCACATCAAACGTGGGAAGTGGAAAATCAGTTCTCACCTCATGGACCTTAGTATTCTCACCAGTACTGCAGAGAAGTAATAACCTCTCTACACACCCAGAGAGCCGTCTTCCAAGAGCCAGTGAAAGTTTGCAATAAGCCATGAAGTACTGCAAACACTTCTGCCTTCTGTTGCTTCCTCTTTATTTAGATATATCAAATCTTCCTATTTGACTGAAAGTTTCTTGGGAGCAAGACTTAGTTACTCTTCCAGAGTATCTGCTGTACAGCCTGGCACATAGTAAATAAATGCTTAGCAAAGTTTTCAGATACATAAATACAGCCCAGTATTTAATGGATCGACTTCTGCTGTAATCTCTGATGCAGCAGTTTTCAATGGAGAAACTAAAACCGACAGTCAGGGAATGTTCCTGGCACGTGGTTATTAGTGCGTAGCACAGCTTACTGTAAGCATCGTGCTCTGTGGAAATCCTTCATAAAGGAAGGCTCACAGGTGTGCAGGTGTGTGCCCTCACTCCCAGGAAGGAGAGTGTATCTGTCAGGGTCCCTCCCGAGAGGAAGCAACACTCTGGCTAATGCAGATACTCTGAGAAGAGGCTCAGTGAATATGCCTGTCTGCCCCAAGCCCAGCCTCCTCCCAGAGATCTTTTTTCCCCAGAGAGCTGCCCATCTTCCCCAACCAGCCGTGCCCTTGCAAACCTACTTGATATTATCTCTCTCAAGCGGGGAGGGCTCTTTTGTTTCCAGCTATTAAAATTGAAACATTTTATGGTGTATATAAGCCAGAGGTGACACAATTAAATGAAACTATTTGTCATATAAAATTTACATCAGCAGGAATTAAATGTCAAATAACTGAGGATTGACAGCCTCCACTGAGTCATAAAGACTCTAAATTAGTCTTGTGAAGGGTATTCTCACGCAGTCCCTCATAAACTCCATTCTGCCTAAGACTTACTTTCCAAACGTGCCAAAAGCAGAATGTCACTGAGGGGTTACCGGGTCCCGCACAAAGAGCTCAATGGAGATCAAAAAGTCACTTTTTACTAACAATGTAGCTTTATTAATGCAGGAAAGAAACAGCAGAGAATATGGTTTAAAGGAAAGCATGATGGTAAGAAAACTTGAATCTTGTCTCTTATTAATTATGTAAAATCACACCACTTCTTCTATTTATAGGTAACAAAACTCTCTAGTCCTAACTTCCAAAGACATTTATTGTTTGTTGATTGAGTCTATTTTCTAGCACAATTTTAGATGTATAGAAGAAATGAATGGAAAATACAGAAAATTTCCATATATTCCCCACCTCCTTCAACTGCCCTTCTGTTGTGGAAAACAATATCAAACTGGATGGAAAAATGTTCTCACTAAGGAGCTGAAAGGCAACTTTTTATGACTCTATTGGGTGGTGGGAACCAGATCCATATCACTAGACCCTTGTCAGTTTGGGGTTTAGCTTTTATAGGTTTTGCAAGCAGGAAGTACAGAGACTTAAAAGGATGGCAAGTTTTCATTGGGTGAAGTTAGTGATTGAGTCTTGCTGAGTAGAAAGTCCTTGAAATATGACAGAAAAACAGAATATAGTTTTAGGAGGGAAAGCACACATAGTGTGAGCAGACAGACCTGAGCCAGATATCAGTGGAAAGTAACTGTGTGAGTCAGGCGGGGCTGACTGAGTTTATCAGTCCGGCTACATGGCAGGCAGAA